TTGGGATGAGAACTTGCTTATACTAGTACTTTTTAAACCCAAAGATTACTCCATCGTTGAATCTTCCGCAGAGAGAGAAAGCAGGTTCACACGATCTACTCTAATCAGACATTCGATCGAAAAAAAGGACGCTATATGAACATCAAATTTCGAATAGGCCTTTAAACATGAGCAGATAGCGTGATCCATATAACGCGTATTACGAGTGACTCTGGCTTGTAAGCGTGTTAAAAAAGTTCACACCGAAGCAACATCTGATATGCACGACGCACTTCCGTATAGTGTTGGGTAAGATTGAGCGAGGTTGCGTTCGAAACTGAAATTAAAAGTTAGGCGAAAACAGCTCCCGATGATATTAAAACCCCCCTGAAAGTTCATACCAACCTTTTTATTCTCCGTCATGTTTTATTACACTTCGCAGAGCTGCCAAGTTGATTTGTGGGTGTTTTTTTTGTTTTTTTTTCCGGGTGAAAATTCAATTCAAATGAAAAGTCATTTGTGGCAAGGAATGCAAGCAGATGAGTTTGGGTAAATATGGCAGTTCGCTCAATCTGTTGGTAGGGTTTTCGCAAATGCTACTTGTAATCCTTCATGTATATCAGCGGGTCGCCGAGTTAGAGAAGAAAAATAGTTGGAAGTCAATGACGAGCAGATCGATGTTCTTAAAGACGCATTGTGTAACTTTTCTGGCGGAGCTTCCGTCAAATGCTTTCTTATTGCTTTGTCTGGAATGTTTCACAGTATGGCATTAAACCTTTCTAGCTTCATGGAGACCAAACCAGACCAAGTTACAGGTCAGATCTGCGGAGAGGTGACCTCACTCAGTCAGAATGTCTGTTTTTCTAGGTATTTCCAAGCAGTAAAACCATCTGTAATTAAATAAATGTAAGGCAGAGCTGTTAAATGTCATACTGTGGAACATTTTTGGCAGAGTTATGACCATACTGTAAATCACTGTTTCGCCAAACACTTAGTTGGGTCTTAAAAGAGATTTTTTTTTTTTGGGTCGCCTTGTCTCGATCTGCATGTAGGTTTGCAATAAACAGTTCTTAGGCTATTTTGTTCCAATAATTCTGGTTCAATTGAATGTTGAAAAGAAAAAGAAATGGGCTACATTTAATGTCCAAATAGGCGACTTATGGATAAATTTTATTGCTTTTTTTAATTACTGTTTTTCATTGTGTAAAACTTGAGTAATACTAATTGTTCAGAGACACGATCACTCAGTCAACAATAAAATATCCTCATTAATGTTCAATAATGCTCAAATCCACCTTTATTTTGTGATTTACTTGACTTGGGTCACGAAGGTTTGGGACTTTTAAAATATGGGTCCCCAGAAAAAAAGTTTGGGAAACACTGCTGTAGATCCATACATAAAGCAGGTGATGAACCTCCAACCAAAAACTTACATAGTGCACCATGCAAATATTTTATCATGAAATTATTATTAATTAATTATTTCCACCAAAAAAGTACACATTGCTTTGTTTTGTTCAACGTTTTAGAAAACTATCATTTGTCAATTTCGTCAACATCTAAGCCTTTCACTTATTTTGTACAGCAATACATTTTTTAATTTTCAAAACAGGATTAGTTTGGAACAGTGAATTTGACAAGTGTTAATGTCGTTCTTTTTTCATGAAATTTTCAGTGCGCGCAATTAAATCTTTACATTTGTATTTCGTAAGTTTATGCAAAATCAGTCTTAAATCAACACATGGCAGCATTCTTGTCTATTGTCATGGTTAATTTCTTTGACTTATAGTGCCCATAAAACCTTACAATTGATTCAACTTTTTATTTTTGCCAAATTTTGACAATATTTATTTCAAAACGGCAACTTCTGATTGGTTGATGGACTTTTAATGTCTTTCATACCTACTATACATACTCCCCACATAACGTTATTACAATTCACGAGCTTATAAACCCACTCAAGGATAGTCAAATCAACCAAACACCAGTCTTGATTTGAAAGAGGGTGAGGTTTAGATAATTTCCCAGATATTTGCGTACGCCGGGACCGATTTTGATTGGTTGTAACTATCCATCGAAATTGTTCTGTGAGTCTAAAAGAGAATGGATGCGCGAATTCTTTTAGCCAATTTTAAACTTTATACGCAGAATCAGTCAAACGTTGCTGCTCCCATTGACTTCCACTATTTGTTTTTTTCTTGAAGACCCATAACGGTATTCGAACGTTCCCAACACTTACAAACAAACGTACATTCACATTGATTAGCTGTTAGCCTCCCAAAAATGACTGAATGCATGTTGCGACCATGCTAAAGTTCCCGGTTCTACGCCTGGAAGAAGTTTGCAAGAATGTCCGTGGAGAAGGCCCGATTTTAGCCTCGGATTCTTGAGCTGCTATCGTGGAAGTGTTCAATTACGGCGTTGCGAATGGGACAAACTTTGTTAAAACCAGTGGCTAATTTTCCGACGCCGATCCCTCTCGAATCCTAAGAGATCATTTCCGGCATCGCTTGTAGACACTTGTGTTTTTTGGCTGCTTCCTTTTTCCAAGTTCTTCAAAATCTTTTATCATCGTCTTTTTTGAACAATTTCTTTTTATCCTACAACAATATAGGCTTTACATACATAGCGTAATGTGCTATTTCGCAGTCAGCTGGCTGCTTCCGACTACTTGTGCATTGGTAGCTGTCCACGCTTTGATTACGACTTCTCGGCGGGTCCCCCTAGTGCTCGCGCCGCGCCATGACCACTCGTACAAAAAAATAGAAGTCAATTGTGCAACAGTTAGTGGCAGGAGATCCGAATAGCAAAGGAAAAAACGGTCCTCGGTAGCCATCTTGAATCACTACGCTGATCTTCGGTCTAGGAGATGGAGTCCCAGAGTTGTATTAGTAAGCGTCATTGCGTTAGCTCGGTGTGTGGATGGTTACGAAGCGATGCCAGCTCCTCCGAAAATGTCTTCACTTTTTTCCATACCAAACTGTCAAGTCTTAAGGAAAAATCCTGTGTCCGTTCGTGAGTGAAAAGAGGTTTGTGAATATATCTAGATGATGAAAAGTATGAGTATTCCAGTGTAGGACTATATGGAAAATCAGTACACGGCAGCATTCTTGTTTGGGGAATTGCCATAGCTAGTTTCTATTCGACTTATGGTCCCCTTAAGACCTTACGACTGCTTCAACTTTGTAGTTTTCGGCAAATTTTGACAATATTTATTTGAAACCGCCAACTTTTGATTGGTTGACAGATAATTACTTTTTGTCTATGTATATGAGCCACCCATATCAGTGTTTCAATAGACCTTTTTCACAACGGCTGGAAGTGCCTCGATGTAGGTTAAACGTCACTTACGTTAATGATTCTATGGCAAAATATTTGTGGAAATGTCTCACGTATTTTCCACTAGCTTCATAAATCTACCCCATCACCAAATCTTCAACCAACAAGGTCCACAAAGGATAAACATTCTACCAACAAACAATTTATCCACAACTATCAAGGTAAGAAAGACAAAAGCTTAAAGGTTAACAAAACGGACGCCTTAGTGAACTCCTCCTGAGCAAAACTAAAGCTATGGTCATGATTAAAACATAAGTAATTTGCTAACTCAGACTGATTATGCATTTAAAATTAAAAATTGATTTCATGATCTAGATCAGACATGTCAAACGTGGGCCCAGGGGCTAAATTTGGCCATATCAAATATGTATTAGAGCTGGCCGGCCTGCTACACACAGGTTATAGAGACTATTTATTTAAAAAAATTTAAATTATTTTATATTTTGCTTGTTCTGGATTAAATGTTTAAGCAAAACTATTATTAAACATTTATTTTAACAAGAAAAGGTTTAACATTGCATATCTCAAAAGAAGAGAAAACATGCAGATGTTGTTGAAATCTTTTAATAACTATTTAGTTTGGCCCACGACTTTATCAGAGTTTTTACTTTTGGCCTCTGTGAAGTTGAGTTTGACACCCCTGATGTAGATATTAGCAAAGGCAAGAGAGATTTGTTCAGTTTAAATGCGAGACAATCTGTGAACATCTGTAGCATTTAAACTGCACAAATCTGTCTATGCTAATTTCTACATCATGAAGTCGAGTTTTAGGTTTAATTCTAGAATCAGTCTGAGCTCACAAGTTACTTATTAATGAATCACTTAGTACTTATGTTTTATTCATGACCATAACATTAGTTTTGTTCAGTAGTTCACTAATGCGTCGTCGTTCGCCTTTAAGCTTTCGTCTTTCTTCCCTTGATAGTTGTGGATAAATTCTTCATGGAAGAATGTTTATCCTTTGTGGACCTTGTTGGATGAAGATGTGGTGATGGGGCAGATTTATGAAGCTGGTGGAAAATACGTGAGACATTTCTACAGATATTTTGCCACAGAAAACCATTAACTGAAAGTCCCTCAAACCTACAGACACTTCCGGCCGTTGTGAAAAAGGTCTATTCACGAGCCTACCAAAGCCTACTTTGAAATTACCCAATCGCAACTCTTGATTTGAAAGAGGGCGGGGTTTATGGAATTTTCTAGATATTTGCATATGCTGGTACCAACATCGAAATTGTGTTTAAAAAGGCCGAAAATACGAATACATTGACTGTAAATTTGGTAGAATTACAAGCTCATAGAATTTTTTTTTTGCCTATTTTAAACATGGAAATTTAAGGCTAACCACTCTGCCAGGTCTCAAGGGGTTACCCAAGCGAACGAACAACGCAATGACATCCACCCGTGAGGAAAATTTACAAGTTCGGTGAGCGAATGTTGCGCATTGTTGAAAAAGATCCATTGGCAAAGAATCAGTTATCAGAGCTGCCAAGATGTGTTTATGTGGTCCGAGAAAAAGACGTTTCCAAGACCGTGTCCCGTTTGGAATTCCGTTAAAAGTTTGGTTCATTGTCTGTTCGTTGAATCTGTAAATCCACGTCTCAAAGTTGCTCCAAGATTGATGCTAAGTTTTCGTAGTTTCATCCCCGCTTTTTCCGAATCTTTCCATCTCTCCCGGTCGTTCAGATGTGCCTCTTCATGTGTAACGCCAAGTGATCCGACCTCGAAAAACACCTGCAAGACAAGAAAAATTAGCCTGTTAGCACGTGGGGGGGGGGGAAACGGCAGTTGTCGGCGATGCTACGCTAGCTAGCCCGAGTGCTGAACCGCTAATGCACACGTAATTAAAATATGTGTAACAATTTTATAATCAGCGATTTTCGGCGGCTGCTAATGGCTTCAGCTGCGGAGTGAATGGACAAAGTGCTTCCAGATGGATGTTTGTGGGGAAAGGGGGAGGGAGTAGCGAAAACATAACGGTGAAATGATAGTTAAATTAACGATTGGAAAGCGCTTGTAGGGTTGGTGGGCTGCGCTAGCTGCTAGGAACACTTGTGAATCAAAGCGTGTTAATGGAGATGTTTAATAATGTTTGTTTTGCGTAAATGAATGGAGTAAATTGGCTACAATGGGTTTGGATAGCGGTGATCTCTCTACATCAGCAACGTCTCATCACCTGCTTATTTCTATACATATGTCGTTGCTTTATCTAGAATGTTCCACAGTGTGACATTAAACAGCTCTACTTTACATTTATTCAATTACAGGTGGGTTTATAACTCGAAAATACCAAGAAAAACAAACATTCTGACTGTGAGGGCGGGTCGCCTCTCCACAGATCTGACCTGTAACTTGGTTTAATTCCATACTGTGAAACATTCCAAACAAAGCAATAGCATCTCCACGGACAAAAGCATTTGACGGACCCTCCACCAGAAAAGTTACACGATGCAGCTTTAACCCTTCCAGACCTAAGGGCAGTTTTAGTACATTTTTCCTCGCCTGGATTTTTTTTCTTCTGAATTTTGCTATTAAAACTCTCCCTTTTACCCCTTAATGAAGTGTTATACATCCTTTTTTTCAGTACAACCTGTTATTTCACAATCTGCTGCTGTAGTTGTGTCAAATGGCTGTAATAAAAGCTGTAGAACCAGAAATACAAATGAAAAAGAAAAACAAAACAGGAACATAAAATTCACACTCTTTCATACAAAACACACAGTAAACACATATAAACAACATTTTGGACATAAAAAATGCTTAATTTAGGGTCTTCAGTACAAAAGTGCAAAATATCAAGTCTGTAAGTAAATTAAAAATATCCTTATTACCCTCAAAACAAAACAAAAAAAAAAGTGCAATGGCCCCATGACTTTCCTGGTGTCAGTCATGGAAACAGCTGGTGTCAGGTCCAGGACACAGAGCCACATCATTTCCTGCATTTCCATGGGGTTTATTACATTTGGATTTGTACATTTTGTGTCAAATGGACCTTCCAAATAAAAATAGCAAGGGATGTGCATTTACGCAGACCGAGATGTGTAATTTGCCATTTATCTGAGAAATAACTGCACTTAGAGTGGCTTTTTCAGTTGTTACGAACACAGACGCTCAGAGCATCGACCATTTTGACTCACTACACTCTTTGACAACTTTTGGGTCAATCAAAATGGACGGAGCACATGAGTTTGGTGGAAAACAAAGTTACTACTGGACACTCGTGACGTTTAACATAGGATAATGCTGGAAATATGCTCGGAAAGGCACTTTTCTCTCGCCTGATTCCATCTGACTTCGCAGCATTAGGATTCGTTCGGTCGACGGTAGGCGGGTACTTTTTTTATTTAGCCAATTGCTGCTATTTGGCCGTGACGTACGTGATCTGGTATATTAAGCTTTTCCCAAATCCCGTAGGAAGAAGGTTAATAACGTCTTTATCCTTGATAAAATTCACCAAACATTCTCTTTGTTCCGGCTTTAAAGCCTCGATCTCAGGAATCCTTGACAACACAGAATGTATGCCTCTTCGCTGATTGGCTGGTGCCCAAACGCGCACTTCTGAAATTTTTGCGAATCGTCAGTATTTTGATTCCTGACCTCAAAGCTGGAGAGAAATGACATAAAGTGGATGTTTTTTTTGTGGTTGGAAAAAGATTTTACATTTGGGGACAAAGTTAGGTCACGTTTATGCAATTTAAACTCAAACTCTTACATTGTTTTTAAAAAAGCATGCAAAAAAAAAAAAAATCATTTCTAAAGCGATATTTTATAGTGTTTGTTATACACATTTCAGAATATGTTTGTAGAGGTCCAAACTACAGGGCCGGCCGTTTTTACGCAGAATAAGACCCCGCGGAGACACCGGGAGGGCATCTGACACGTGTTTGAAGAGGGCCTTTTACACCGAACCGTGCCCCGTTTTGTCCTCCGCGGGGCCCATTACAAATTAACAACTCCATAATCCACATTTACAACGTCGTAGTTAAACTTCCAGACGCTGAAATAAAACCGACGCTAATAAATATTTTGGGATTCCCGTCATTTCAACCGTTCCTTTGACTTTTTCGCGAATCAACCGGCTAAAAAAATAAAAGCCCCGTCACTTTGTTTTACATTTGGAACTCATTTGTCGAGAGAGGAGTTATAAATCTGGAATCGTCTGCTTGGAATTACAGCGTAAATCGGTAATGAGGTAGTTAAACTTGTCTGCGTGTAAACCCAGATGCCTGTTGGGGGCCATTGTCTCAGTCATTTTAAGCGCGCAGGGCCCACAGCGGCTACACGTCATTAGCCTTGTTTTAATGCTAATTTGCTAATGCTATTAACTGCTAGCAATCTGCCAACCGCTAGCTTAAATAAAAGACGATGTTTGGTAACAGATTTAGGCTGGGCTTTTAGGGTTTTAGGGTTCGGGTGGATCGCTGCAGGGCGGGATCACAAGCAGAGGTGGTTTTTGAATACAAACTGGAGAATCGTAGTTTGAACAGAAGTCAAAACCAAATCAGAATTGTAAGTCTAGCTGCAGAATTGTGATTTTCATGATTTAAAAGAAATCATTTTGAGATGAAAATGAAAATTCTTGTGAAATTCTTGTGCCATGGTCTTTATACAAGTAAGACTTACTACGAATGCAACTCCTAGTGTTTGTCTATTAGTTTTTTGTTTTTTTTTTGTTTTTTTAACTTTTCGAATCAATTTATTTTTTATTTTTTTTGAATTTTCGTAGAAAAGTTTAAACAAGTCAGACCAAATCGAAATTGTAAGTGCTGTTGTAGAATTGTGATTTTCATATTCCCCTCCCATTAGCAATTCAATAATGCAAATAAAAGTAAGACCTACTACTAGTACTAGTACTACCACTGCTACTACTGCTACTACTACTACAACTACTGCTACTACTATTACTACCACTACTACTACTACTACTACTACTACTACTACTACTACTACTACTACTACTACTACTACTACTACTACGCTACTACTACTACTATATTATTACTACTACTACTACTATTACTACTACTATTACTACGATTACTACTACTACTGTTACTATTACTACTACTACTATAACTACTACTACTACTACTACTACTACTACTACTACTACTACGATTACTACTACTACTACTACTACTACTACTACTACTACTACTACTACTACTACTACTACTACTACTACTATTACTGCTACTACTACTGCTACTACTACTACTTTTTTCTTAGTTTTCAAATCTAAATTTTCAGAATTGTGGTAGAAAAGTTTTTACTAGAACACTACGGGTGATTTTACAAATGTATTTACTACTACTGACTACTACTTACTACTACTACTAGGCTTGGTTTCGGGTGATTTTACAATAGTGATACAGGGTAATGTACGTTTTGGGTGAATTTACGAAGTGTTATGTATACTACTACTACTACTACTACTACTACTACTACTTGGCAATTGTTACTGATTATCTCTTCTTTTTTTTTTTTTGTCAAAGCTACATTATGTACTACTACTACTGCACACTTTTTTCAGCAAAAAGCTACATTACTAGCTACTGAAGTTCTAGAACAATTCTAGAAAAAACTAAAAGGAACAGTAAGTATTTACTACTGTTCAGGGAAACAGTGATGAAGATGTTACTACAGAAGAGATGTATGACAGCGACAGTGATTTACTATTCTGAAACAGGTGATGATGATGATGATGACAGTGATAGTGATACTAGCCTACGTTGTCAGAGAAAAAAAAAGCGACTCCATGATTACTAGACTACTGCCAGACACACTACTACCTGCCTCGACTACATTACTACCCTGCGTGTACTACATGTAAGGAATAGGTTACTTGGAATGTGTACTACTTATTTACAGTGGTTATGAATATATATACAAAGTGGTACTACTTATGGTACAATATTTTAACAAGTGGTATTTTTACTGAAAAAATACTATTTTTTGTTCCTCTCTCCTGTAGCTGTTTGCTGCCAAGGACTCACCAGGGAACTATGTCTCAGGAATGGGTGGACCAAAGACCAAGTTTCCTCTACATTTTTTTTTTTTTTATTTTTTTGTTCTATTCCAAATTTTTTAGTAATTTTCAACATGTTTGTAGGATCTTCTATGTTTTTATTTTCATTTTGTTAAACATACCACAGTTGAAAATAAAAGAAAACCACTCTAATTTATCAAGTGTTGTCATATTTTGATCTATTTTTTATGACAAGTACTTTTGTTGGGTATATTATTCGGGTAAAAATCACCCGGCAAAAGTAGTAATTTTTATAGCGAAAGTGTTTTTAAACAGAAGTCAGACCAAATCGACCAAAATTGTGATTTCACATTTCCTGAGGTATGACAAATAATACATTAAAAAATCTATTTGAGATTGTGCAATAGTCCTGAGTTGCAGTACACTACCACTACTACATCTACTACTACTACCTCAATTTATTTAATGTTGTAAAGTCGCTGTCTCATTGCGGCTACACGTCATTAGCCTTGTTTTAGCTAATTTGCTAATGCTATTAACGGCTAGCAATCTGCCAACCGCTAGCTTAAATAAAAGATAGTGTTTGGTAACAGATTTAGGCTGGAGTTTTAGGGTTTTAGGGGTTTTGGGTTTGGGTGGATCGCTGCAGGGTGAGCTGAAGAGCAGAGGTAGTTGTCGAATACAAATTGGAGAATTGTTGTAGAAAATTTTAAGCAGAAGTTAAACAGAACAAGAATTCAGTAAT